TCTAGTTCCAAGGCTCGATCAATAAACCTCTTTACCCTCTAAGTTTTATTTTTGGGAGCTGCTGTCTGATAATTTCCCCCATTGGTCAAAAAGAATTGAAATTTTACCTGTGATACTTTCAAACAATGACATTAATTCACACAAGCCACAATAACAGCAGATCAGTTCATCTCAGTCCCAGCCCACATCAGCTGATCCCTCAGCTGAAACTCTTCGAATTATCTCATGTGGTGCATCTTCAATCAGTTCAATATTATTTATTTATAAAGCACCTAATCACCTCAAGGCTCTTAATATTGTAAGCTAAAGGCCCTACAATAACCCTAAACAATCAGACGACGCCAATGTAAACAAGCACTTGGCAACAGTGGGAAGGGAAAACTTCCTTTTAACAGGAAGAAGCCTTCAGCAGAACCAGGCCTCAGGGAGGGGCAGCCATCTGCTACGACCAGGTGGAGGTATTTAAGATGCCTGCCTACAGTCACTCCAAATCTGCAAGCTGCTTTGCAACCCATCTCCACACCAGCTCCCCCTCTCATGCTGTGTCTGAACCAGACAGTGTCATGTCTGTTGCCACTGGTACCTGCTTCTGTGCTCAGGTCGTGCAGTTGTTCTCACTTCCTCTGGCTTCTGTGTATGAATGGGGAACGTCAGGGAGATGTGCTCCCAGAACCTAAATGACCACAGATGAAAAAATAACTACTTTCCAGAAAAAACAGCATATTTTTTAAACTGCTGTGACCTTAAAATGGCCATGTGATAACCCCAACCATTATTTAGAAACCCAATACAGACTTTCACTCTGATGAAAGTGTCCCAAATAACACTTCCTGCTTCTTCTGTGATTGCTGTGTAGTGAAAAGGGACCACATGATTATTCCTGTGTCAGAGAATTCCCGATGCTGCTGCCGCAAAGATTCTGCTGCACATCTGTCGCTCCCTCCCTGCGTGTTTTGTCGTAGTTCATCTCTATGGATTAGGATTAGTGTATGTCTTTGCTTTGTCATCAGTGGGATATCCAGTGTGTATCCAGCATGCCTGTGGTATTAAAACTGCTGTGACTGTATTCTATGCAAGGCTCTTGTTTACATGCTGCAGGAAGGCAAAGTGCTTCATGATGACTGATTATTCCCCAGAAGCAGGCTTGGCAGTTGTTTGGCCGAGCCCCCTTTTATATATCCTTGAGATCTATTTTTGGGTGGTGCTCAGAGTGCTGGTGTGGGAAACCAAAACATTCAGTGTTGTGCATTAATAGGTAATAATACTTTTTAAATGATTTGCTTTGATTCACCGAACTAAAGGAAATCCTTCAAAAACATGGAATTACAGATTTCCGTGACGGTCCAAAATGAAATCAGCTTCTGTCTGATCCACAGCTCCACACAGCTCGCGACCACAGCTGTCGGGTTCAGCGATCTTATGTAATGTCATTAGAATGTATTTATTACGGTTCTATTGCACAGCTGAAACCATTTGTTGGGTATGAGACAGAACAGCAGGATTATTTTGCCACCCTCCAGCTAAATGTGTGATACTTTCTATTGTGTGATTTTGAAGCTGTTGGGATGCTGATAATAAAATAGGAACATAGCTCCTTCACTGTGACTTCCAACGCTGGCTGGAACATTACACTCTTAAATTGACTGAAATGTGTACTTTATTGAATAGTAATGTGCACATAGAGGCTGATAGCTTAGCAGTAATTGTTAAATCTAGATAACATTTACCTCAGTTTCGTTGGTCTATAACAAGATAAGATTTCGAGTTGCAGATATGACTAGCCTCAAATTTAAACAGGCATTTTGCATTGAAGCTAATCTGTTTAAAACAGCAGAGCTGCAAAAAAGGACTCCAGGTCATGCTCTTAGTAATATTTTCTTGGACTAGAAGGGCCATAATAAAATGAACAGGCATTTGCAAAGTACTTGAAAATGAATGGATTTTGAATTTTTTTTAACCACATCTTAGATCAGAGTTACTTACATTAATAGGTGGCATAAATCTTGAAGATTGGTCAAAGTTTGGTTAATGGCTTGTCAGATTTCTTAAAACCTGCAATCACTATCCAGTTTATTGCTAGTACCGGGTTAGAACCTCTTCGATCAGATGATCAAGCAGTTGTCCACACTGAGGAAGAAGAAGTCTGCCTTAACAGGAAGTAAACCAGATTTTCAGCAAATCACAGACAAAAACACTTATAAAGATTTGAATGTTTGAGTAATATTTTTCCGAATGCTAGTTGTATTTTTGTTGCTAGGCAGAAATTTCAGGATTACTGTTTTAAGTGTGGTTAAAATGCAGGCCTCAAGGGCCGGTGTCCACAGCTGATTTAAATGTCTAAATTACCTCCTCAACATGTCTTGAAGTTTTCCAGAGGCCTGGTAATGAACTAAACATTTGATTAAGGTGTGTTGACCCAGGATGATATCTAAAACTTGCAGGACTCCCTTGAGGTCTGGCGTTCCCCACCCTGTTTTAAACAGTGAAATAATAGCACACTTTGGGTCGAGCTCTGCTGTTTAACAACTGCATCTTGTAGGTAGTTTGTAGCTGTAAAAGAGCAGCTTTTACTTTGGTTTATTTGCTCACCCCTTTTTAAAAGTCTGTTTGACACCTAGGTTCTTCTTAGTATAAGCAGAAAAGAGACATAAATTGTGAGTCACAGTGAATTATTGGAACCTGTACAAATCTGTTTCCATGTATGTCTGAAAAGTGTGGGCTGTCTGCAAAGTCTTTAATTATAAAAGGCATGTCACTGTTAGCTGGAATGTAGATTTGATAGCAGTGACTGTAGACGAATGTGTGTATTAGGAGTGGAAGCCTTTGTTAAAAGATGACCTTGTGCAGAGAGCCTGTTTCCGCTCTGAAGCAGACAAATTGCCGAATTTTCCGGACAAACTTGCCTGGACACTTCCTTCACGCTATCGGCCCTTGTGATTGCTAGAACAACAGCACTCACTGAGGGTCCATTGTGATGTGCACTTTCTCACACTGACCACAGCCAAGTCAGTGCTGTGCTTTTAAAAACGTCCCTATAAACAACACAAGTGGCTCAGTATTTAAGGCTTCGGTACATTTTTAAATCCTCCCTTTTACTTATTTGTGTTTGGACTGTATTCTAAGCTCTGGCTATTTCTTAGTTTAGATAGTTTGTGGCTCCAAAGCTGCAGCCTGAGAGAGGATGCGTTAGTCATCCTTTCCCGGGCTCGATGTATAATTTCACCGAAGCACAGAGTAGCTGTTCATATGGACTCCCCCCCCCTGGGCTGTGTAGCTGTTTGGACTGCGGTAGTCTCCTCCTCAAGCAGTTCATACAGCTCTCTGTCTCTGCTGGGCCCAGTGTGTTTGTTTGACGCCTTTGTCACAGCCTCTGCGGATGTCATCCTGTCAGTTGCCTGTCTTCAAGGCCTCCCCAGGGAAACTTGTCTTTATCTTCCTCCAGTCTCCGAAATCCTCTCTTTCCTGTTTTCAAGCTGAGGCAAACCAGTCTTGTAGCCATAAAACTGCTATGAATTGTTGTCTTTTTAAAGTGTCCACTCCATATTGGTATTTTTATTTTTTATTTTTTGTTGTGCGGATAGGCATCTCTGCTCTGGATCTTCCACACAGCTTGACAAGCATGATGTACTAATAATTGCTGGTGAGTCAGGATTGGCTGACACTGATTACAGGATCTAGTCATTGGTGATCTGATTTTATCTGTCTTAAAAAATCTGATTTCACAAGATCCAGGGAGTATAACATGTTTCGCTGTGGGATGCAGTCATTCGGCTTTGTTGTTTTGGATCTCTCTAAATGCAAAATAGCACAGATGTGCATATGAGGGCATGTTGTGACCCATAAAGAGTTTATGTTCAATTTGTCATTGTTATAGCTTAATTTTCCAGCGTATGCTGTGAGCTGGATGTCATCCTGATGTTACCAGAATGACACTAATTTATCCATGTAAATTTAAACACTAGGGTTAAATAAGGAGTTCCACAGGGTTCTGTGTTGGGACCAATTCTTTTTACATAATATAATATAAGTGGATTTGAATGGAATTGAATATTATGCCCAGTTAAAGCACTATCTTTCACATTTCCTGTGATGTTGAACACTGCATAAAAAAGCTGAAGGAGGCATGATATACCAAGGTTGGCATAACAAGAGCTTGTGTGTTACTCGTGCAGTTTGCCAGGCTAATCCGATGACCTGGCAGGAGCCCTCAGCGGCTGGCTCTGGCTGTATGGTAGATTTGTGTAGGTAACAGGTTTACAAAGATTAAAAGATTTAATAGGAAGACAAATGGCAGGAAAAGACAGCTCATTCCTTATTTTAATACCCGCTGTTATACATGCAACTATGTTCTGAAAACGGTTTTCCAACAATAAACACACACTGGCAGGAAAATATCACATAAATACATTACAGAAATGTCTTGGCCTTAAATGAACAAAGATTCTTTGGCATCACCTGAAGAGGGCTGTTCAGTCAAGACATGTCGGAAAATGAATGAACTGAAATGGTTTTGTTGGAGGAACAGTCATAAATTCCTCTTCATTGTTTTGCAAGTCTTATAGGTGGCTACTGAAAATATCTGATGAAGGTTGTTACTGCTAAATTCAATAGTTTACTTACTTTTTTCCAGCCTACACTAGAATATTGCTCAGTTTGTTCAGTGAAAGAGATGAAAAAAGTTTGTATAAAGTTTGACACTGTGTTAATAAAATCTGTGATGCATGATGGTAAAATGCATGATCAGGACATTCTTTGGATTCTTGTTTCATTAAAAAGGAGTTTTTACTAGTTTTTTTTCTAGGCTGTAAATGCACATCTTCATCACTCCCACTATGTCCAGGATCGCTGTGTTAGCACCTTCTGGCTTATTCACAATTGACAAAAACTGAAGCTCCAGTTTGCTGCATTTCCCATGATGTTTTCTCTGCTTTAACTACACGGCCTAACAGTTTAATAGCACACCATGTGACTATTGTGCTTTGTTTCACTGTTTCTCACAGAGGCATCCTACAACGAAAACTCTCCATCATATGGCTACGACCTGGAGCATTCAGACGAGCTTGGGCCTCGCCACGGACCTCTGTCCTTCACGGGATCTCCTACCTCCTCGCCACGGCTCCGCTCCAAAATCAGGAACAACCGAGACAACCAGTCATCTGGTTCTCTGGACTCCCCGCTGTCGGTAGTGTTGCTTTAATGACTACAGTTAGACACGTTAACTGTGCTGCCTCCTCTTCTCTGCTGTCTCACTGTCCTTCATTGCCATCTCTCCAAACGTATTTCGTAGCTGTGGTTTCTCAGTTCTGTGGAAAAGTTACTTCTTCCAATATCACCCTTTGGAAGCCCAGGCCTTCCTCATTTCATTTCAGTTTTCCTGTTGTTGCTTGTGATTCTGCTCCCACATGCTTTATGTGCACATAAGTGATAAACGTGCTGCAAGATGTTGAGGAATTTGCTTTTTGCTGCTTGATGCTGGAGGAACAAATGACTTGATTCAAAATGTGGCACATTGCCAGTCTTATGACATAACGGTGTCTTAGCACTGTGGTAATCTTTAAAAGATTGTTATTGCTACATTTTTTTTATTTTACTTAGTAAGATCTTTAAAAAAAGTGTGATCCTATATTTCCCATAATATATCTTGATGGCATTTGCTGTCACACCCTGCCTTCTTAAATAAAGGCCTCCAACTTACAAACTGCACGTCCCCACAGTTTGTGATTTCTGGTGCTGAAATGTAAAAATTTTAGCCACTGAAAGTGACAAGCAAACTAAATAAGGCGCCCTTCAGAGAGGCATTAACAATGATACCCGAGCTCAGGCATCCATACCGCAACAATAAAACATCCAGTGCGTGTTTGCCATGTAGCTCCCAGATGGGAGTGCTTTTCAGCGTTGCTGAAAAAGACCATACGTACTCAGCAAACATACTGTGTGTAAACAGATGTTAAAAGGAGACGGCGCTCCCCTCCCCCTCCAGTCTGCCCCTCTCCTATCTGCGGTATTCTTATCCTCTGATGTGTACACTTGGTGATCTTCAAAGCCGAAATCATGGTGGAGGGTGGGTTCACTTGACTTGCAGCTTCTCCTCCTCCTTCTTCTTCTTCTTCTTCTTCTTCTTTTTTTATTTAGCAAATATAATGGCAGCATTTGATGCAATCAGTGCTCCAGTGAGTTTCTCATTGAATGACTCCTACTGGGGGTGACAGATGTCTTTGACCTGTTTGGACTAACAACTCCAGGATCAGAAACACATTTGTCTTCCTCAAGATGCTAGGAGTTTCTGCTGCTGTCCTCTTGGAATGTAAAACTCCTACAGACCGCCTACAAATCTGGACTCCTATAATCCCACAGCAAAAATATCTGCAGCTGGGGGTTTGCAGAGGTGCACGGGCAGCTTTTGTAAAGATCAAACACGTTGATAAATTGCATGTCATTACTGTGACTGTGTGACTTTTGTGTACCGTAGGTGAATACCATTTCTCCCTGTTTGCCAACTGTTTTCTTTCTTCCCATGTTTGTTTCAGGTGGAGCTGGATCAGGAGAAGGGGTTAGAGATGAGAAAGTGGGTTCTGTCAGGAATCCTGGCCAGTGAAGAGACCTACCTCAGCCACCTGGAGGCCCTGCTGATAGTATGTGTAACATGAAAACAGGCTTTTAAAAGACATTCTTAGCTTTAGTTTAGTAGCAGCTGAAAATGGGACCTATTAAGGTCATTTTCAGCTGTTTTATAATTTTATTCTGGGAATCCATTAGTGCAGCTTTGCCTGACTTGCAGTTCACAAAAAACCTCAGTTATGTTATAGTCACCTTTTATCCATCCACTCAGTCCTCCTTTGTCTTAAACAAGCTATTTTAATTCCTGTCTCCTGAGGGCCTCTTAATTAAACTTAATTTAGTGGTGTAATGTAAGTATTTTTAAACAAGTTCAATTTTCTTATTCTTTTCTTTAGTATTTCTATGTCATGCTACGTTCTACTTTTGCAAGTATTATACTTTATATTGTATTATTTTAAAAGATTCAGCCAATAGTTATTTTGTGGGCGAATACAAAGTATATAAACTGATAATGTTTTAGAATAAGGTATTCAGCAATGTGTAAATGAATTGAAACGCCTGTAAGTGAGGTACTAATGACTGAATGAATATGAGTCACTGTGAGCAATGAGCATTTTGACTTTGTGGGGAAAAAAATGTCTTCATGTTCATACAAGTAACAAGGACGTGCATGAACATGCAATCCAGAGAAAAGCTAAAACCGACCCCACGATTTAATGGGTGTAGAACCACAAGATATCACAGCAACAATAACTTGAAGTTATTGTTGCTTGCTGTACAACTTTATCAGTCTCTCATGTCGTCGAGGAGGAATTCTGGCCCCCTCTTCTTAACGTTGTTGCTTCAGTTCATCGGGTTTTGGAAGTAGTTGTGTGTGAACAGCATTTCAGTCAGATAGAAGCCTGGACTTTGGCCTCATCACAACGTTGCAGCAACTGGATTCTTTTCTTTTTCTGCCCTTTTGTTGTAAATTTGCTGCTGTGCTTGAGATCATTGTCCTGTTGCATGACTGTTTTGGCCAAACTTTACCTGTTGAACAGATGGCCTCATATTTCACTCTTGTGTATACCAAAGTATTCTGGAGTTCAATGATGATCAGTGGCTGTAAAACAAGGCAGAACCATCAAATTATCGCCCCTTCACCTTAACCACCTCATATGTGCTTCACAGCTGGTATGAGGTATTTGTGCTGATATGCTGTGTTTGGGTTTTCCCTGAAGTGCCGGTGTGTGTTATGGCCAGATAGCTCCACTTTGGTCTTGTATTTCCAAAGGACATTTTTCTTAGAAGTCTTGTGGTTTGCTCATATTCTACTTTGAAAACCTAGACTGTGCTGCTACGTTTTTGTTTTTGTTTTTTGTCAGAGAGAACAGGCTTTATCCCAGAAACCCTTCAAACAAGCCATACTTGTTCAGTCTTGTTCTAATTGTACTCTCATAAACTGCAACATGCTAACTGAGGCCGGTGAAGTCCGAGATGTAGCTCTTGTTTGGGTTTTTGTTTTTCCTAATCTGATCATAGTGCGGCCTTATCTTTGCGTGAATTTGCTGGGTTGTCTGCTGATTTGAAGACTGTGGTGTTGTCAACACACCTGAATGCTCCGGACCAGCAAACTACCTAAACCTCTGATTTTATAGAGATGCTCAAACTTGGTGATGATCAATTAATCAAGTGCATTTGATTATCAAAATGTGACTTACTTATATTTCCTATTGAAGCAGGAAAGGTGTACTTCACTTTTTACAGGACTGAATACATTTATGCTAATACTTGCGTATTTAAAAATAATGGATGCAGGATTTGTAGCAAAGTACTTTTATACTTTGTCATAAAACTAGAAAAAGCAATTTGAAACCTAGCACACTTAGCATTAGAAACACACTAGAAATGAATCCAATTATTACAATTTTGTTACCTTATTTTGTATAACTTTTGATAAGATAGCTGACGTAAGCTAATTTTGTTAGCATAGAGACTGGTCCAACCCTTTTAAATAGTAAATAATAGATTTTCTTCATGCAAACAAACAAGATAACTTGCAGTTATATGACAAATTTCTTTGCTTAACTGTTTTTTGGTGTTTTTGCAGACACAGTGTTCACATTTTTAGAATTATCTCATGTTAGCTAATCTTAGCTAATGCTACTAAACACGTCAGTCACCTTTGGCATTTACTGTATTGACTCATGTTCTGTGGTTACTATTTTGCAAGGCCTTCAGTTATTCTTTATAAATGGTCATATATGGTTGTGATTATTTTTGTAGCCCATGAAACCTCTGAGGGCAGCAGCCACAACATCCCAACCGATGCTGACCATCCAGCAGATAGAGACCATCTTCTTCAAAGTACCGGAGCTTCATGAGATCCACAAAGACTTCTATGATGCTCTGCTGCCTCGAGTAGAGAGCTGGAGCCACCAGCAGTGTGTGGGCGACCTTTTCCAGAAGCTGGTAAGTAAGCAGCTTGCTTACTTACTTAGCTTTGTTTGATGTAATGGGATGAGCTGGAAAACAAAAAAGTCAGTCTCAACATAACTGTAAGTTGAGAATGTTGCTCTTCCAGTTAACTCTCATCCTCTGTCATAATGATCTCACTGGTACAGCTGGTGCTGGGAAAAAAAGACAAATGTCACCTGTTGTTCATGGACGGTTGCTTTATGACACATGAATGAAAAGCTTTAGCCAGAACATGTTCTTCCGTTACTCCTATTAACTTGGAATTCGGCAGAAGCAGACAAAGTAAACAAGGAAGTCTGAACGCAGTGAACAACAAAGTGTTTGATGAGCTGATAAAAGTGAAACATTCCTTTATTTGATTTGATTTGTAACAGTTTAAGCAGAATTTAGCCACCATATAAAGAGTGGCAGTCCTTTCAGCTAAACTCAGTTCTCCTTTGGATAAAAAGAGCAAACATCAAATAACACGAAACCTCCAAGCACCAAATTGCATGTTGGTTTTTGATCAAAGAGACCACCATTCCTCAAGTCAGTAACTTTCAGATGCTAATTATAGTGCTCCTTAAATGTCATTCCTTGATCATTAATGAGCGTTAAAAGAGGGGAGACTTGGAGAGGGGAAAGGTGGGAGTCTTTGGCTGTAATGTAATCCTCAGTGGATCTTGCACATCTGAGTAGACTGCCTGGAGTCGTCTCCTGGCCAGATAAAAGCCTTGTTTCGCCACATGACAAGCAGTAAAGGAGTGCAAAAATCCTCTATAGAACGTTAATGAATAAGAGCTACCTCAGTGTTTGCCACTGGATGACGAAAGATTAAAGATGCATACATGTGGGGATTTCTATAAACACGTGCACAAACATTGAATCACACTCTGCTTTATCAGTTGCCTCTGTATTCCTGCCAACTCGTGCCTGAGCAGGCACAGCACACTGTGACACTGTGGTGCTAACAGACTAGTAAAATCTATCCGAGTCTAAGCTTTATCTGCTTGTGCCCTTTAGGCCAGCCAGCTCGGAGTGTACCGGGCCTTTGTGGATAACTATAAGGTTGCTGTGGAGACGGCAGACAAGTGCTGCCAGGCAAACGCTCAGTTTGCAGAGATATCTGAGGTATGTAATCATGCTACGCACAGCAGGACTGCAGCAGGCAAGTGTTTGATGTTGTGCAGCTCCCCGGGACAAGTGATGACAGGGCTGTTTTCGGCAGTCCTCGCAGTGTAATGAGCTGAGCGACTGCAGCAGTTGTTTTAATTGCTCCGTGGGTCAGTTACTGTGGTTTCTCAAGTTTTTTTTGTCTTATTCCAAATATTTCCTCTGGTGTTGACTTCCTGGCAGAATCTCATGGTCAGAAGCACAAAGGATTGCAAAGACCAGTCGGCTAAATATTCACTGGAAAGTGAGTAGTGACTCAGATGAACACAGCGCCTCCACGTTAATCAATATTGCTAGGAGTAGTTGAGTTGTGATGAGGCCTGTTGAACTGACTCTTCCTCCTCCTCCTCCTCCACAGCTCTCCTCTACAAGCCTGTGGACAGAGTGACGCGCAGTACTCTTGTTCTGCATGTAAGTTGGATATGGAGCTTCATTTTATCCATATGAAGACTTTCCTACAACTCTGTTTGTCATATTTCCTCTATTCTAGGACTTACTGAAGCACACACCTTCCAGCCACCCAGACTATCCGCTGTTACAGGATGCCCTGCGCATCTCCCAGAACTTCCTGTCCAGTATAAATGAAGAGATCACACCGCGCAGGCAGTCCATGACAGTAAAGAAAGGAGAGGTCAGCGTTTAATCAATACTATGCTCACATATTTGACTTCCTCAATGAACACCCACGCCTGCAATTTCCACTTTATCTGGACTGTTGACAGTAAAATGTTCAAGGTGCCTGGAAGCTGCTGTAAAAGCGTGTGTCAGGTTGCTGCTGAGTCATCTCACCCTGTCTGATGTAGCCATGAAGGAAGTGGAGCGTAGAGGAAGCTCATGACAAAGCCGTGCAAACACACCGGAGTTGAGGGGTCTCCAGGAAAATCCGTCGATTACCTCTGTGCTCACTCCCATCCTTCCCTCAGAGCTGGTCCATCCCTGCTTCCCAGAAATGACGCCTTATCAACTTTTACTGTCTAAATTGCTTTTCGCAGTGGGCGTATACGGGCTTAGTAGTGCTTCCTGACCTCTCTGTCTCCCCCTGCGTCACGCACCTCTGGGGTCTGAGTCAGATGACCCAGTTGAGAACTTCCTCTGTTTTTCCTGGGAATCGGTTCTGCCCACCAGGATAGGATGTCAAATTCAAGAAAGTTTTCCAGGACATTCCTTTGCTTATTGTTCAGGAAGTCTGAACGCCTGCTGAGAGATCGACAGATAACAAGCCATGACTTGGCTATCAATTGAAAATATGGGTTTGTTGTTGTTTGCGCTCACCTCGTGACTAAATGTGCATCCATTGTTGATGTTTTGCAACGTGACCGCCTGTAATTAGCCCGAGCATTTAAACCCGCGAGCGTGTTTAGCTTCACCTCCGGTGTGCATGCCTCAGTTGTCATTTTAGTGCAGCAACATATAGCATTAGAAGGGTGTGAACTCTGTGCAGTGACAGCTGTTGTTTTTTTCCATTGGATTATTGACAGTTTGTGGTCTTGTTTAAGTCGCAGAACAATAAGTGGATGTAACCCTGCCACCTCTTTCAGAAACCAGGATGGTGTCAAACGTGCTTGAGTCCTTCACCAGCGTGTTTGTGACTTGCCAGAACCGAGCTGGTGTAAAAACAGCAGAGGAAAACCATGCTGCAGTGATTTCCTTGTTTTTGTCAGACTGTGGTTGGTGTGGGATGGCAGTGTCTCATATGGGCAGTGTCACTGTAAACAGCCTCATCCCAGAGGTCAGAGGGAAGAAAAGGAATTTAGATGCATGCTGTTGCAGGAAAGCTTAGTGTCATCACATTGTACAGCATAAGCTCAGGCTCCAGTATCAGAACCTATTGCCAAATAAGAACCTGAAACACAGAGCATAAGAGGCTTAAAGAGACAGTCACCCCCGAGATCAAGCTTCATTCTTTCATGCTGGTTATACCAAATCAGACCAGGCAATGTTTTTCCAATTTTTTCAGTGTTCTGTTGTCCAATTTTGGAGCCAGTGTGAATTGTAGCATCAGTTTTCTGCTCTTAGCTGATAGGACTGGCACCCAGTGTGGTCTTCTGCAAGGTTTAATGTGCTGTGTTCAGAGAAACTCTTCTGCATATCTTGTTTCAACAAGTGGGCATTTGAGTTATTGTTTCCTGACTGTTTTCAGACTCAAGCTGTCTGATTATTCCCCTCTGACCTCTGGCATCAACAAGGCATTTTCACCCCGAGAATTGGCGCTCACTGCATATATTTGCTTTTTTTCCGGAACCTTCAATGTAAACTACAGAAATAGTTGTGTGAAAAAATCTCAGTAGGTCAGTAGTTTCTGGAATACTCAGACCGTTCAAATTCACTTAAATCACCTTTCTTCCCCAGTCTGATGCTCACTTTGACCTTCAGCAAGTTGTCTTGACCATCTCTACATGGATAAACTCATGACAGGAGTTTCTACCATGTGATTGACTGATTAGATTTGTGTAAATGAGCAGCTGAGCATATGTGTGTAGTATGCTCAGATGACGCCATTATGTTTACATTCTATCATGCGGCCTCTAGAGCTACCCTTTATTCACGGGCATAAACTGTATACAAAAGATGGACATTCATTCATTAAAACTGATGCGCAAACACAGCTATGGCAAAAGAAACCTGGTTAGTGAATTGAACTAGCAGAGAAACTATTAGCGGTCTGTGTTTACATCCACCAGCCAATACAACCATTCCCCTAACTTTAATCCTTTACAACATCCAAATGGGTTTGTTTTGAAACAATTACTCCCTCCAGCATTTGTACAGGAAGGGACAAACTATTCATAGAGACTAAAACCAATATTCTATCTAGTAATAATGATGCTTATTAATGTGGTTTAGTTGTGTGTATCAACATGGCAACTCCTTTGTGAAACTGCCCACAGCAAAAGTTCACTGGATTAAAGTTTCTGGAAAGAGAATTTACTGCTGAGTTTTTCTCTTGTACTTTTTGCCGTTTTGAACACTACAAGGCAAGCTTCATTTAGTTCCATTATATATAAGCGAAGGTCGTAATAGCCTTTATTTCCAGCACTGGGCATTTCACTTCAAAACAATCTGGGTGGATAAATACTACTGGGTTGAATTCATCTGAGAGCAGTAGCAACACCGCAGCGTTTAAAGTATTCACAACCATCAGCACTTATATAATGTGAAACCATTTTAAACGGCGCAACAACGTCAAACCTAAATTAGACGGTGTACTCTCAGCACCTCCTGTGGTGTGCCACTGTTTACCCTGCAGCAGGATAGGTATACTGGTTGAGATGTGACATGCTTTGTACACACTGATCCCTTGTTTCCTTTGGCAGAACCGTCAGCTCCTGAGGGATCGCTTTATGGTGGAGCTGGTGGAAGGTTCCAGGAAACTCCGTCACGTCTTCCTCTTCACCGACCTGCTGCTCTGCACCAAGCTGAAGAAACAGGCTGCAGGGTGAGTCTGGGTCAGCGTCCAGCCTGAGGTTACAGATGGAGGCATGTGACCTGGAACATCCACTGGTTTAAACCCCCGTTGGGGAAATGAGAGTGACTCCTCCCAGGAACTTAAATTGTCCTTTGCTGAAAATAGAACTATTTCAGTTTGAACAAACAGTTTTTGTACTCTGACGCTGCTAACAAGCGATTCTAAAGGCAGCTAAAAAATATATTTATTTGTAGCCTTCTTGTATCTTGTATTTCAACAGGAAAGGGCAACAGTATGACTGTAAGTGGTACATCCCCCTGGCTGACCTGACCTTTCAGACCATCGAGGACTGCGAGTCCAGCCCCGTCCCTCTCGTTCAGGATGAGGAGATTGATGCACTGAAGATCAAAATCTCCCAGATCAAGAACGATATCCAAAGAGAGAAGGTGACTACAGAAACATACGTGACAGAGTTCAGAACAAACAGCATCATACCACCAGGGTGATGACTGCTTTGTACCAAAAAAACAAGCAAAAATAAATTGAGGAAGTACAGATTAACATGTGAGCAGAGCTGAGTGTCTAGACAGGCCTGCACTGCATTAACGCTGCTCCTGTTTATCTGCAGAGAACCACTAAAGGGTCCAAGGTGATTGAGCGACTGAGGAAGAAGCTGTCAGAGCAAGAGTCCCTGCTGCTTCTCATGTCCCCCAACATGGCTTTCAGGGTGGCCAACAGAAACGGCAAAGTGAGTCAGGGGTCCTTAGGAGGGAATTAGGGAAAGGAGTAAAGACTTTTTATACGAAATAGGTTTTTTCTATCATTGTTAATTTGGTTTTTACTGCCCTCTGCAGTTGATACAATGAAATTGCACCATTTGAGCTCAAGAAACGATTGAAATACTCTTCCCCCCTTTTGCCTTTCAGGGCTTCACATTTCTGATCTCTTCTGATTACGAGCGTGCAGAGTGGAGGGAGCTCATTCGTGAGCAGCAGAAAAAGTGTATGTTTTTTTTTTTTTTCTTATAAAAATTTAAGACAGGATGGCAGCACTGTTGAAGCAGCTTCAATGTTATTTTCACCCCCTTTCACTGTAACATACAGGCTTTAAAAGCTTCTCTCTGACTTCTCTGGAGCTGCAGATGCTCACCAACTCGTGTGTGAAGCTCCAGACTGTTCACACAATTCCAATGACAATGAATAAGGAGGGTAAGATTGTATAGCATTGGATTAAATCTACGTTTTAATACAGCCTTGTGTTGTACTTAACATTTGACCCTCCTGCCTCCTTTCCTTCCACAGATGATGAGTCACCTGGTTTATATGGCTTCCTGAATGTCATTGTCCACTCTGCATCGGGGCTCAAACAGAGCTTGAGTAGGCGTCTTAAAGTTGTTTTTTTTCTAAATAGAAATCATTTTGTTGATTACTGTAAAGGTTGCATGTAGTTTCACATCACTTTGTGTGTTGCCCCATCCCTCTTCCTCCCTTTCGCTTTCTCTGTCTCTCTGCGGCTGTCAGCTGGGAGGGCAGCTGCAGGAGATCAAGTGGGATTAGTCATGAACAAGCCTCTTCAAATACACCTTTGAGTGCTCAAATCACCGCCTGCTTGAGAAACTTTACACTGTTTGTCACAGTGTCTTTAAAAAAAAATAGTTCCCAGGAAACAGCCAGTGATGTTGACTGGGACAAATTTACTGGGAAATGAATATCAGAGTCACATTAACTAAAGAGAAAGAGAGGGTTCTGGTCCAAAGCCAGCAGTCAGTCGCAGAGACAGAGAGAGCACACAGCACAGTCTGGGCATGTCTCAGCTGGGTGACTAATGTGGATGCTCAGTTTTAAGTTTCACTTTGATTCAACTGTTCTTCTGCTTCCACCCGCTAGACCTGTACTGCTCTCTGGAGGTGGATGCCTTTGGCTACTTTGTGAACAAAGCTAAAACACGCATGTACAGAGACAGCACAGAGCCCAACTGGAACGAGGTGAGAAGACAAATCCGTAAGCAGAAAAAGACGTCCCTTTACTCAAGCAAAAAACTCGCCCACATATTTTGCATGAAATTATTTGAGTAGTTCAAAAAAAAAAAACCTCCATTGTATACTCAAGGAAATTCAAAAATTCACACAAATGTGCACACGGCTGAAACCTAATGAGCATTTGTTCTGTTCCTGCACAAGGAGTTTGAGATTGAACTGGAGGGCTCTCAAACGCTGAGGCTGCTCTGCTACGAGAAGTGCTGCAGCAAAGTGAAGCAAAGCAAAGAGGACGGAGAGGTCACAGACAAGATTGTGGCTAAAGGACAAATAAAGGTACAGACAAAACACAGAAGCTGTGGGTCACAGCAGAAGTTTGTATGTTTGTATAAAAAAAACAACTTCAAAGAACGATTACAGTTTTAAGATACTTCTTATTAGATTTACCAGTTCAAGATCTGACCAATAGCAGCTTTCCTTTGGTCCAAATCAGTATGAACATCTGGGAGTTTAGAAAATGGTTCAGTTTATATAATATTTTGCGTGACTACACATATTTTTTAAAAAGTTGGTCAACAAAAATGATGTCTGTGCCAGGACACTGGGATACTGTATGATGTAAAAAAAACTTCTGAACACTACCATTTGCTGGCAGGTCCTGGTGTACTCAGTCTACATTTTGGGTATAATTTATTATTACAATTTATAATTCATGAAGTTGGCGCCATTATGGCATGTGCATAAATGCATGCAACACTTTGACTTCAAGAAGCAAGTCGTTGGATTCTCAGATGCAGCAGGAATATTAGAGTCAGCAGAAAGACTTCTACAAACAGCTCAAAGCAACACACTAACTCCAGCTGGGAATAACATTTTGTGAACCCTTTAAACTGTGGTCAGCATTAGTGAGTCTCATTAATTCACCCTGTCACAGGCTCTTTTTTTTCCTCATCACAGTAAAGAACTCAACTGAAAGTTTCATTTGTAAACCTTTTACTCTGTTACATATGTGAACTTGTGCAGCAAAATGAGTGAATTAAAGGCTGTATACATAAACGCTATTTGGCCGATGTTTCCCCTGGTCTTTATAGACCAGTGTTGATACTGATCTCGACTTTAAATCTTAACATTTCCACGCACAAATCTCTGCCTCTGTAAATTGAGCTTGCGCCCTCTAGTCTGTTGATTCTGGCCACTTCACAGTGTTGTCTTATCTGTGTTGGCTAATCCTGCCCTGTGGGAGCCCTTTGCCTTTGGAAAAAGAAATGAGTCTTGAGGTTGCCACTGGGTCACTTCAGCTTGACCCCCTGATTGGGTGTAGTGACAGGAGACGGATTAGACTTTGGGGTTGACCGAGTGTAGCTGCTGGCACTGCTCCAGAGTATAACGGAGCGAGAAAGACTCACGGCTCTGTTTGATCTGGCAGTGAAGGGATTTCACTGCTGGACAGGTGGGTCAAAACACAGCGGAGCTTTAGAGGAGGGGGCATGGTGGGGGGTAGCATTCAGATATTTGCTAGCAGCTCCGAAGTAGGGCACCAGTCGGGTGTATCGTGGATTTGAATATTAAGTAATGCGTCAGATATGAGGAAGACGAGGCACGTGTTAGTTCTGATGTTAAAGGTCAATAGTGCTAATCGGTAACTAGGCTGAGAGGATCCTCTTTAGGCTACTTGATATGCAAATTTACCAGCCAACACTCCTTGCAGCGGCAGGGGTGAAGCATGCTGGTAATGAGGGTAGGAGGGGATTCTCAGGAGTTAATCCCCCAAATCCATCTGGGAGGTAGAACAACACACAAGCAAACGTGGCTGACTGGTGTGGCTTTGTTCCTTTCTGACTTCCAGTGGAATGAAAGGATATGGAGTCTTATATTGCATGAATGTGAAGATGGGACAGCGGGACACGATTTTTTTATTTTTTATTTTTTACTAAAGATTCAATGAAGAGGATCAATATTCTTCAATGGCTCGTTATTCGGGGAACAAGGACCCGCTGCTCTTGTTAGTGTGCCGGCTTGGAAAATTGTGATATCCGTGGAACAGTGCTGCTTTCTTTGTTTGTTAACCATCAGTCCGCAGGAAAAGCTTTTCGGAGTTGAGAAACGCAAATGCCAGAAATAAAGAGCGAGAGTAACCCAAAGGAAGAGGAGATCATGGATCAGGCAGAGGGTAGGCTTGAAGAAGAGGGAGACGCAACTCTAAGAAAACCCACGAGTACAGGGGCCCGTTTGTGGGAGAGAGTCCGCAGCAGTCTGATCAGACCAAAGGTAACGTGGTAATGTGGAAGTGAGCTGCGGGCTGTCTCGGAAAGCACTTTTTTCCTCCTCCTGGCAGATATCTAAAACCCTATTTCTGTCAGGCTTGAACTCTTTTGAGGTTTAGAACGTGTAGTGTAGCGCCTGTGATTGTTTTTTTTATCTTTTGGATAAAGAAGCATTATATAAGAAAATTGTTTTTCACCAAGCAAAGGATTATCTCAGTGAGATTCGATGGTTTCTTGGGTGACAGAACATCTGTCGCATTGGACAGACGCGGTGCTTAGTGGTGAGGGCGTGATGTTATCACATTACTCATGCCTGATCACTGTAAATAAAAGCTGGCAGTTGCTGTTAGTCACATGCCTCAAATAGATTAGTGGAATGGGATAACACCAGCAGAGACATGTGGTGCAATTACACTGAAATTTTCCCTAAATTTGTTCTCGCTCACTAACTTTCAGTTCAGATCAATAGGCGCATGTTTTCTGTTTTTTAAATTGTGAACTCATTGTCCATTTTTATTTATTTTTCTTTCCTTCTAGTTGGATCCACAGACGCTACAAAGTAAAGACTGGCAGAGGACAGTCATCACCATGAATGGGGTGAGTGTTTCCAGCTGACCAGAGAGAACCGGCTAAATTAGGAATGACACCGAAGTCGGCAGCGTGGGTTTCAGTGTCGAGTCCACACAAAATACACTGGAAAGATAAATGTTGAGATTTAAATGCTGGTTCTCCTTGTTTGTCTCACCATTTCCTCTTATTAATGATGAATAGATATTAAGAAAGTATTAAGGCTGCTTAAAATCCACTTTAAGATGTCTCAAATATGCCATCCATCATCTTCCGTTTAACCAGTTCGTTTCTTTTTGTGTTTCTGTTTAACTGGAATCAACTGTGCCACGTTGTTAAAGGAGATCAGCTATGTTTTCCTTATCTCATATTAAGATTAAGACAATGATGTCAGAGCATGTGCGAGTAATCCCAGTGAGCTAAAAGCTGAGTGACGAGTGCAATGAAAGTAGGTAAACATAATAACATCTCAGGCAAGTAGCTCTTGCTCTGAGCAAAGAAGCCCCGCAGACGTGCTGTTAAAACCTTCAGTTTGAGAGAGGCAGCCTGGCCAAAGAAAGCTGGCTTAAAGCAAGGACGCAGGGAGGGAGGGAGAGCAGCTTGTTTCAGATGGTGGGTGAAATAAATATGATAACTGTGGACCATCTTCAACTGTGAATCATGCAAAGCTACTCTAGTAGAGTCCAAGATGAAAAATCGACGCTAGAAATGAGCTTGAACCAAAGTAATATATAAATATGGGGGTCTATGGGGCTCGACTTGCCAGCCTGCTTTGGCCACTTGCCAACAGTTGCTAACTTTTGATTAACAGTCCAGTAAAACAGACATCATCAAGTCGTTTTGCCGCCTCTTTATGTTAAGTTTTAGGATTGGACTTGTTGTTATCACTCAGGCTGACTTTATCTAATCTTTTTGTCAGATTGAGGTGAAGCTTTCCATGAAGTTCACCGGCAGAGAGTTCAGTTTGAAGCGAATGCCTTCCAGGAAGCAGTCTGGCGTCTTTGGAGTGAAAATCAACGCAGTAACAAAGTGAGTAGCTGTTATGTGTTGACTGTCATTGTTATCTATTTGTAAGATTTAACATGTTTCATTATGTCAGTATATGTGAAAGTTTGTTTGTTTGTTTTTGGCGTAACACCAGGACCCTAAAGGTGAAGCACCAAAGTGGATTTTTTTCATTTTGTCATTCACGCCAGAAACATGCCAAACTACCTTATGTGGAAAAAGCTTATTTGACTGTAACTAAAAAACAAAAGGAAAGAAGCTAGACCGCCACAAGTCAGAACAGATTGATGCAAATGTGGTCTTTAAAAACATTAGTACTGGTGATAAAGTAAATAGATTCAGCTGTGGTCTGAGTTACATGCCCTGTTTCTACGATCTGTGGAATTCTTAGTAGCTGTAACCTTGTTTTTGTGCCACTGTGTCATTAATAGGCGAGAACGCTCCAAGGTCCCGCTCATTGTCCGCCAGTGTGTAGAGGAGATTGAGCGACGGGGCATGGACGAAGTTGGGATTTACAGAGTATCTGGTGTCGCAACTGACATTCAGGCGCTGAAGGCTGCCTTTGATTCAAGTGAGTTCACTTTAAACTTGGGAAACAGAGACAGCTGTTTTAGAACAAATATACTTGATGTGAAGACAAATGTAAGAAAAGAGTCCTGAGAAATCGACTTCCACCCTGCTCAGTATTTTTTTTTTTTTCCTCAAAGCTCTTTTACTCCTTGGTATATACTGACCGATGTCTCATTTGTCTTGCAGACAACAAGGACGTGGCTCTCATGATGCGGGAGATGGACGTAAACGCCATCGCGGGAACACTGAAGCTGTATTTCCGTGAGCTGCCGGAGCCTCTTTTCACTGATGAGTTGTACCCAAACTTTGCTGGAGGCATTGGTTAGTCACCACCTCATGTTTAACTCACCCCTACAGCGTCTTTGTTGGTCAGGAGGAGATACATTTGTTGTTTTTGTCACCAGAATACTCATATGTGCATCTGCCTTACAGCTCTTTCTGACAGTGTGGCCAAGGAGAGCTGTATGGTCAACCTTCTGCTGTCCCTACCGGAGCCTAATCTGTTGACTTTTCTCTTCCTGCTTGACCACTTGAAAAGGTAAACAGCTTTCATTAAATCTGTTATAGCACGTACCGAGTTATCAAAATAGAAGACACTTTAAGAACATTAAACAAGACTGTCAAATCTTCAAAGAATTACATTTATATATCAAGGGTTTTTTTTTGCCTCTTAGGGCCATTTTTTGTGAAAAGAGTACTGAGAAAGCAGAATATGATCATGAGCTCTGAATAGTGTTGTAAGCAGCTGAAATCAGTTTACTCTGTAGGGTAGCTGGACATGTAGCCTTAAACATAGGGTTAAAGTAGAGCCAATGATTCTTCACATCAGAAAAGCCCCACAGACATGGTTCTTGGTGGTACTTGATCTTTGTGATTTTCTGGGAACCCTGAGGTAGACTCAGAACTTCCGTAAGCGAATTTATCTCATCTGGCCTGGGAAAATCTTGGAATCTCCCAGGAGGTACTAGAAAACATTGCTGCCCAGAAGGACATCCGGAATATCCTGTTTACCCTGCTGCCTCACAAACAGATGAAGATGGGTGGATGTTTCATAGTTTAGTTAAATATGAATTTTGTGTGGTAAAAGATGGTTATGGTAACTAATTTGAATGTAATTGTTTGCACACTTTTGATACAGAATCAGTTTGCTGACATCGCTTTTTACCTCATCTCTTGCATTTACATTTTACACCTTTTGGTGAAGATGTGCTGTTTAGTTAGGATTTTGCTAAACTAATTTTTTTTTTTACATCATTCTTATAGGGTGGCTGAAAATGAAATCATCAATAAGATGTCTTTGCACAACATAGCCACCGTCTTTGGCCCCAATTTGCTTCGGCCGTCTGAAAAAGACAGCAAACTCTCAAGCAGCTCGCAGCCAATCTCCATGAACGACTGCTGGTCCCTAGAGGTCATGGCTCAGGTAAAACCCGTGATGAGTGAAACTGCAGCGTTTAGAGAGCCCGTATGGGTCTGATCCCTTCTTCGTGTGTCTCCATAGGTCCAAGTCCTTCTCTACTTCCTTCAGCTTGACAGCATTCCCACACCTGACAGCAAACGTCAGAGCCTTCTCTTCTCTACTGAAGTATAACAGCGACGTCCCGCTGTGAGGAAGAAGCTCAGCTGCTTCAACAGGTGGACGCTGCTGGTTTCCTATTCATGTAACCACCAGGGGGAGCCTTCGACCCACTGAAAACTGGAAACAGCCACCATGAGCAAAGCCATTTCTCCTGGAGCTATAATGACCATGCCCTGTTCTGTTTAAGCTTACCTGCTGTGTCAGTAAAAAGCATCTGATTATGATGTGTGGACAAAATATATGATTTCTTTTTTTAATTTACATTTTTAAAAGCAATATTAGAATACGATATGTTATTGTTTACCCCCGCTCTGTTTGGTCACTGTGCACATCAGCTCCATATCCATAGGGGATGACTTCTGCTGGATTTTATAAGATGTGGGGTGGATGGACTTTTTCAGACTTATATTTTTGAAGTCTAAATATATTTTTGTTTTTGTAGATCTGTTTGACTTGGTTTCAAGCTCACCTGTGCCAATGTTTCCCTGCTGACGATCAGTAGAACATTTCAGTTATCCTAATGTTTACACACTCTGAATTTTGTACAGAATTTAAAACGTATAAGACTGAAAACTGTAGTTAAGATGCAGCAACATGCAGGCATGTTGACCTCAACACTGTTTTCTGTGCTATACAGTTTGTGTAGTGACCTTTTACAGGTTCTTCTGGTGGAGTCCGGGCCAACTTTCATGTACATACCAATTCTTTTTGGAGGAGGTACAGAGAAGTGAAAGGAAAAATCATTCCAGAAAAAGCCCTTTTTTTCCACCCATGGAATGTATACTGTGCTGTGTGTTAATTTCACACTTGTCTTTTTACCCATAATTCATGCATCCACTTTTTTTTGGTTAGATTATTTCTGAACTGATGTATTCAGCTGGAATCAATATATATATATATGTGTTACTTTCTGCATTCCTTCTCTGTAGTCTTCCACCTTTATATAACAAAAACCACACTGCTGTAGAAATGAGAGCACTTGGGAATGATATGATGATCTGGAGCACCAAACATTTCCCAGTAGGATCCTTGAAGCATAGTGATGCACTCATGTATTGAGAGTTATTAATAAGTTTATCATTGACATGCTGTACCTAGTGTAAGTTAAAGCTCTGTGAAAAAAACCCACTGTGTATTCACATTTTTCCAAATCATTTTAAGTATTTAAACTTGTTAGCACAAAGTCTAAAGGCTTTTGATTCATGTGAAATAAGCAATAACTTTTAGGATGACCAGTGTGATATGTAAATAAATACTTGGCAGTATTAAACTCTTCTTGTGTCCTTTTTCAGTATACAGTGTCATCAGGATAAGGGGTTTATTCCTCTTTAATGAATGAAATGTACTGAACTGAGCCTAAACCACATTCAAGAGTATGAAATGTTTTCACTGAAAATTAGATTAGTGAAAACAGGAGAGAACAGGATCCTAATCAGGCTCAATTTATAGTTTTCCAGAGACCGGATTTGTGGCTGGGTCCCTGTCTATGTTTATATTCTGATACTTTTCCGCCCGCATAAATAGTGTGATAATACTTGAGGTTTCAGATATATTTCAAACTAGTCTTAGAGATTAAAAGAGGATAAGCATTCATCCAAATGGTTTTCCAGTTTCTTCATTTTAAATTAAATCGTGTAAAGTCGTTAATTTGGCTACAAATTAACCACATTTGGTTAATTAGATACATATATATTTATATTAATTTGGTTACAAATTAACCACATATTTGCTTATGGTGGAGGCAGTGGAGTGTCCCTCCTGCGGGTGATGCTGAGGTGATCCAACACGGGGAGGGGGCAGAGGCTCATGCGGCGGCTGCTGCCAACAGAAGGGAGCCGACATCCGAAACCGGTGCTGCCCGCTGCCGTAACACGTTGTGGGCTAGGCAGACTGTTAGCGACCGCAAATGGATGCCTATCGGGCCCTAACCTGCCAAGCTGGGAGATAAGGAGAACCTTAGGTAGGAATATTTCTGCAGTTAAGTGGAGGGGCGCTGTCTTTTTGCCGGCTATGCTAACATTGTTAGCTTAATAATAGCATTAGCGACATAATTGTTGATATTCTTGCTGGCAGCGCGGTGAAATTAACAGACTGAAAAGAAACGCAGGCACCTACGCCGAGGTCACATGAACAACCAAGCCTAGTTTTCTTAGTTGTGTTGGCTTAACTACTGCTTGAAATGTTGTTTTAACCCTTACACCCGATTTTGGATAAGCTGTCAAGCTAACGAGCGTGCCTTGAGTCATCTCATAAATAATTTCACAATAAGTAGATTGCCAAGTAGTCTCGGCGGGGGGCATTCGTACAGTAGTTTCATGTGTGCCAGTAAAACCAGAGCTATTGTTAAATCGAGATTTTCCCTCAAAATAAAGTTGCCGTTATGCTTTGTTAACTGTTAAATAGTGTTTTAAATATGTCCTGATTTTTGCTGCAGAACATTTTTCATTAGCTAAAAGTATCTGCAGTTAAAAAAAAACATCTTGTGTCTGCGTGCATTATACCTCATGTCATCTTTAACTGTTATTTTCACTCGTCTGTTGACATTTTCGATAGTAGCTGTTGAGGGGTGTGCTTACGTGTCTAGGTTGGTGCTTTAGTTTTGAAAGGCAAAGCAGGAAGTTTACTAACTGCCTGCCTGACAGTACAGCTAACTAGCTAGCTAGGTTATGTCAATAATTTTAAGATGCTATTTGTTTTTCCTAGGGTAGTACAAATGTTCATTTATTCCGTAGTGTGGGCAGATTGTTTTTCCCTAAAATAAAATGGCTAAATGACATACGTGTACATTTCACACGTCGTATTAGGGCTGACGTTTGTGTTGCTGTTTCAGAGGAGTCAACACTACTGATATCTCAGCTTGTCTTTTGGTTGACCATGCTGTTTCAAAGATGTGACTTATTCGTATACTCCATTTATTGAAAATTAGATACATATATATTTATATGTAAAACCAGGTGTCCACAGATGTCTCTCAACTTTTGTCAACAGTTTGGAGAGATCAATATACCACAGTCTCCTCATGAGATTAGTTTCCAGAAGATAGTAAAGGGGAAATATAGCTTTGTGGTCTCTGGCTGATGAATGATTTGTCTTTGAGAATAGAACAAAAACACATTTTGGGGAAATCTCAGTCTTGGAGACTTTGTTCTCTAGTGGCACCGAACACAGAAAATGTACGACTAGTTAATCAGTTAAGCGGTTACTTTTAACGTGCTCTGTGGCACTTATAAATATGCTGAGCAGGCCCAAGGACACAGAGTTTATGGCAGGATTCAAGTAACACCGGATTTACCCGTCTTTGAAAGAGGGTCCACCGCTGGGAGAAGAGCTCACATGGTTAGTGGTTAAACATGGACTGTGACCAAACTGATAACTGGATTTAGATATACGAGTAAGATGTTAGTCAGCAGTTCTGGATATTGTGGTTACACCACATAGTTGTTGGCTGTGATTCTTTGTGCATCAGTGCTATGTGGTGGTGAAGGGAAAAAAAACAACAACAAAAAACAGAGGAGCCGCTCTTTCTCAGGTGACTGAAAGTGTCACTGCAGGAGGTGATCAGACTGACTCAGTAACAGCAGTGTACAGGAGAATGGTATTATTGTATGGGTGCAGTACATAAATACCCCTTTGCATAGATGAATGTGCATTTGACAGCTGAGTGCAAAAACCATAAGCACTCACTAGTCTATAGATTTAAAGATTTAAATAGTTAAAGCTTTGTCATAAGATGGTTCATTCCTGTTTGGCATTAATAACCAGACATTTTTTAAGTCAAATTTGAGGTTTGAAAAAGTCTGTGTCTCAACTGGACTGATCTCTGCTTGTCTTTGTAAACAGTCAGCCTTGCAGGGTCGACATTTCTTTTCTTCTTCTTTTTCTTGGGAGACGCCACCACAGGAAGCTGATGTTATGGCAAGGAAGTGCCTCCCCGCAGTTAAAGAAAGAGCGCAGGGAAGGGTTATTTACTAGACCACTGTGCTTTCCCCCCCACCTCTTTCTCAAACACTGTTTCTTCTTTGTCTCAAGCTCATGTTTTTGTGCAACCCTGGATCACATCCAGTTCACTTATTGACAGCGAAATCAACTACAACAGCTCTGTTAATTTGAAATAATGGGAACTTGCCCCTTGGCTTATCTCAGCTTTAATTGCATGGTTTACAGTGAGCTTTGCACCTTTATGCATTTATGGAGCTTGAAAAGAAAAGCGTCGGGACTTCTTTAAGTTGCTTGAAGACGTTTCACCTCTCATCCGAGAAGCTTCTTCAGTTCCAAGGTCAAATGGTGGAGAGTCCCAGATTTAAGCCCTATGGGAGTGTCCCTCAAGAACCTACAAAGGACCCCCTAATCACACAAGCCAAGGTGTGAAAACAGGTGTAGCTCACAATCAACCAAGGTTTAGAGTGAACTCATTGTGAAACCTAGCCCCACCCTATCATGTGATTTACTGAGATCAAATGGCCCAGGAAGTGAGTGGGCGTTAAGGTGTCTGGGAAGTCATAAGCCACCGCTTCTGTTCAAAAATGGTTGTTCACAGTGGACATAGATGGCTTCTTTCACTCCCCCATCTATGTCCACTGTGAAGGACCATCTTTGAACAGAAGCGGTGGCTTACAACATCAACTGTCTGCCATCTATAATCCAGTTTTGAGATCCTTTCCCAGACCCTTTAACGTCCACTCACATCCTGGGCCATTTGATTTCAGTAAATCACGATAGGGTAGGGCTAGGTTTCACAATGAGTTCACTCTAAACCTTGGTTGATTGTGACCTACACCCGTTTTCACACCTTGGCTCGGTGTGAAACGGGTGATTAGGTAGAGATCATTAGGGGGTCCTTTGTAGGCTCTTGAGGGACACTCCCATAGGGCTTAAATCTGGGACTCTCTACCATTTGACCTTGGAACTGAAGAAGCTTCTCGGATGAGAGGTGAAACGTCTTCAAGCAACTTAAAGAAGTCCAGACGCTTTTCTTTCCAAGCTTCCTAGACTACAATGACCTGAATGACTGAGAACATTCACAGACATATTTATACATTTATAAATATTTTCTTTCAACAGCATCCTGATCAAAATAGGCACCTTTATTACATTTAAACTGATGTCATTTTGTATTTCATAGATTCTGAATGTCAGTTCAGCAGTCACCCTTCCTCCACTGTAAACTTGTGCTGTTAACAGTCAAAAGCCTGGCTAATATTTAAGACGTGTCTGCCAGTTTCAGGCAAACATTGTGGACTTTGGCCTTTTCATTTTGTGCTGTTTGTTAAATATTTGAGCTGTATTTAAACCGGTTGTGCTCAATGTAAGTTTAGCCACCCGGCAGCCGTCTTCAAAATGCCTCCAGGCAGGTATTTGAGCAGCTATTTTGAAGCACCTATGTGACTGAATGGGTAGAGAGCCATAGTTGTAATTTCAGTGGTCACAGGGACATAACTGTATGAATAGAAGAAACAAAGAAGTCAAATAGTGACACTAAAATCATGCTTAAAAGGCTTAAAAAGCTTTTTATATTTGCACAATGCATTCATAGAATAAAAGGATGTTACATGAGCCAACATGAAGAGTGTCTCTGCCCATCCTAAAAAAAAAAGTAGCATCTGAGAGAAATGTTTATGGTGAGGGAGTTGGCTTATGAGGTTCAGTTACTTTACTCAGCCACTTAAATGCCAAATTGTCAACTGTGCTAATTGGCGTGTTTTGCAGTAAAATAGACTTGCGTTTCTCATATCACCGTCTCTTCATTTTCCATTGTAAGTTCTGGTACATAAGGACATGTCTGGAACTGTAAAGTCTTGCATTGCATGTGCTCTAAAGCATGGTGCTGCTTCAGATGATAAAAAACATTAGTGGAAACACGCTCTCAATACAACTGGCAGTGCACGCTGCTCTGCTTCTTTGTTGGACTTTAAATAACCAAAATACCTCCATATTATCAAATTCTTCTCAACAGTGTTCTTGTCTTTTGAAACGTGGGGTATCTGGTTGTTGCTGTTGCTTGACTGTTCATTAAGATCCTCTATTGCCCTTTTGTCTTTTTATCTTGCTCTCACTGTTTTAAATTGTTGGGAAACAACCCAGCAATAGAGGGGAAATTTATGGTTCAACGGCTGTGACGCATTGGCAGTCAGTTTGCAGCTACAGACTGCCTCCCTGCCTATCTGCAGAGATCTTCTGCTATCAGATGGGAGCATGGTCAAAAATATGTGGTACACACATCAGTCTGTAGGCTAATCTTGTTTGAGCTGTTGTTGGTCCATCAGCC